TAGCTAGGGTGTCATGAGCCTAATCAAATGAATCCAGTCTAATAGTTTTATCATTGCGTTTTTCAGCTACGTTTTCGGTATTTTTAGTGTTCCAACCACCCATACGACCCCAATATATCCCCCTCCGATGTTAATAACTTATTTGTTGATTTGAAGCAAAGTCTCCAACTGAAAACTAGTTAGCTAGGCGAATTGGCAGTATCCATTATAATCTACAGTAATCCTGTGTCAATTAGTAAACACTGGGACAACAAATTTAGGTTGGAAATCTCCCTCTCTCTCCCTCCCTTACACACATTCGGGTGCATGTATAAATTCTATCACATTCTTCAGGCAGGCTACGTAGCGAGTTTGCTTAGTGTAATTATTGTTTTGCAAGTTACATATTCCATCTTGAGTTTGGTTGTAGTGATTATCATAATTATAACGGGATTTAGCACCATTTTTTCGCGTATTTTACCGGCAGAGCGAGTTAGTAATTATTGCCTCTAAATAATAAAATTTTGAACATCGTAGATTTCGAGATATTATAGTCGATGGACAAGCAAAACCGTTTTTATCTCCTACTTTTTGCTTTCGGTGCGTAGCGGAACTTCCTCTTCCACCAAGAGCTTGCGGTTCGCGTGAGAATGTCATAAATAGCCACGAAAAACCAACAAGTCAGAATCGCTTTAAAATTGCGAAAAGTCCCATCGGAGATTTCGGAGGGATAGTTGGCGAGCCTACGTAGGCTTTCTATAAATTCTCGTCGGGCCAGTACATTTCCTTCTCTTTCACCTCCCCCCTGTTGTAACGGAGGCCCAGGCCGAGATATCACCGCGCAATGCGTCGCCAAATTGTTGTAACGGAAGCCCAGGCCAGAATACTAGCCGTCTAACTACGCCTTATGTGAGCCCCCAAAGAGAAAACACAACAAGAAGTTTGCAGAAGGCAGAAGTCTTTGAGTGTTAGAGGTACAACAAATTTAGGGAAACGACCGTGTGTAAGATAGGTCCATGAACCAATCAGCTTCTCCTCTGAAG